CATGGTATGTATGTTCAAGACTCTTCTCCAGCACCACAATTCATCCTTAGTCACTCACTGTCCAGCTCTCTGATGCATAGCAAGTCACTGCAAAGACAATGGCACCTTGGTCTCTAGACTGACATCGTTCTTTCTCAGTACTCTGGAGACATCCCTGACAGCAGATTTACCTAATGCAATTCATCTTTTGATTTCCCGACTGCTGGTGCCCAGAGTGTTGACTGTGGAGCCAAGCATGCTGTAATTGTTAACAACCTCAATCTCTTCTTCATCCATCATGGTGCTGCCAATTGGCCCAGTGGTGAGAATCTATCTTCTTGATTTTGATCTTACTTACTTCAGCCATACTGAAGACTACAGTCCTTGACCTTCTGGAGCAAGCACTTCAGGTCTTCCTCAGTTTTAGCAAGCAAGATTGCATCACTGGCATAACGTAGGTTGCTGATGAGTCTTCCTCCAATCCTGATGCCACATTCCTCTTCATGAAGTCTACCTCCTGAATGATCTGTTCTGCATATAAATTGAAAAGGTATGTAGACAGGATGCATCTCTGATGCACTCCTTTCCTGATTCTGAACCATGAAATGTTTTCTTGCTCTGTTCTGAGGACAGCTTTCTGGTCTGAGTATAGGTTTCACATGAGCACAATCAAGTGTTCTGGGATTCCCATTCTCCTGAAGGTCAGCCAGTTAGCTGTGATACAAACAGTCAAGTGCTTTTGCATAATCAATGACACACAGATAGACATTTCTCTGGTACTCTCTGTTTTCTACCAAGATCCATCTGACACTGGTGATAATGTCTTTAGTGCCATGACCTCTTCTAAACCCAGTTTATATTTCTGATGAGTTCTCTAAGTCCAAAAAACCCTACTGAAATAAAGAATATTATTACTCTTTCTTGGTTGATAAAAGAGACTTGAGAGTAATTTAGCCAAGGTCACAAGGCTAACTAAGTGTTTTACCCCTTGGTATTGTTGTTGTTAGGTGCCAGAGAGTTGAGTACCCTATGAACAAAAGATCTGAACTTCGTCCTGTCCTGTACCATCCTCACACTTCCTGTCACACAAGAGCCCATGGCAGCAGTCACCTGGTTGAGGGTCTTCCTCTCCTTCGTCAACCCTTCACGCTTCCCAACATCATGACCCTCTCCAAGGAATAGCCCCTCCTAGCAATATGGCCAAAGTATGTGAGGCAAAGTCGCAAAGTCTCATCATTCTTGCCTCCAAAGAGCACTCCAGCTGCACCCTCTCCAAGACATAACTATTTGTTTTCTTGGCTATCCACGGGATGTTCAGTGATCTTCTCCAATAATACAGCTCAAAGGAGAATTAAAAATTCTCAAAATGTCAAAGGACATTCACCATTTCAGAGGAAAAAAATCTAAACAGATGTGAGAAGAGAATCTAAAGATTTTATCTCTAGTGCTCTCCAAATACAGGTGAGGCTTGCCATGTAAACCTATCACCACAAATCCTATAGAAAGGTGGACTGCCTCTGCAGGAGGCCAAAGAACACTATGGAACTTACTCAACATCACGGCATGAAGTACCAAGAACTTGAAAAATCCTGGTTTCTGGTTAACTGGATACGGGATAACAGATAAGCTTTGAACAATACTTATGTCCTAACCTAGAAGCTAAACATAAGTGAGTTTTACTACACTGCTACTGTGTACTGTGGAGTCAGCACCAACACACAGCTGACCCTCCAGCAGGTTTTCAGAGGCAGTAAATGCCCACGAGTTGACTGTCTATCTTTCTCTCAAGGAAAAGTTGGTGGATTTTAAATGCATGCTTTTGAGCTGACAGTAAAATTCCTTATCACAAGACCACCAGAACTCCCTTTTTTGTTATGTAATCAGTGAAAGTTCTTTGAAAAATCACTAATAAAGCAATCAATTTGCTATAGAAAATCATTTTTTAAAATGTGATAAAAACAGAAAGGTACAACATTTCCAGAAGTTTTGCCTACCCTACTGTTTGAAAAATGAAACTAATTTACTGACCTGAGTCAGAACCAACTCACAGCTGACCTGCTAGCAGATTTTCAGAAGCTATAAATCCCACAGGAGGAGTGTGCCCATCTCTCTCCCTCAGAGCAGCTGGTGAACTCAAACCTCTAGGTTGGCACGGTAACCCTTTATCCCTTACTGCTGTTAGGTGCTGTCAAGTTGATTTTAAGTAACAGCAATCCTACAGGGTTTTCTTTACAAAGAGGGCATTATGGTGGCCTACTGTGTGAAGAGGTGAGCTGCCAACCCAAAGACAAGTGAGTCGAACTCACCAGCTTCTCCATGAGAAAAAGAAGCAATCTCCATGTGATTTACAGCCTTTGGAATCCTACTAAAGGGTAAGATAGGAGTTTGTTCCAACTAAATGGTATGTCAAACAACATCAACAATCTATACAAGCAGATCTCTAGATCATTTTTCCACAGAGCTGCTGGGTGGGTCTGAACTACTAACCTTTTGGTTAGGAGTCAAGCGCTTAACTATTGCATCAACAAGGATCCCTTTGTCCTACTCTAAAGCGTAGTAAATGCATCATTATGTATTTATTCAAGAGAAATGAAAACATGTCTACCAAAAGACTTGTATAAAATGAATCACAGTACCTTTATTCATAGTAACATAAAAAAACCTACAAACATCAAACATCCTTCCCCCACAAACTGAGAAAAATCTAAACATCCATCAATCACAGAGGAGATTAACTCTAGAACTCTACATAGTACAACCACCCCTCACTCATGGAAATGGTTAGAATCCAAAGAGTAGGTTGTTACACAAAATCAGCATCATTTCAAAGGCCAGGCTCAGGCCATGACTTTGGTGACAGTGCTACTTCAACACCACTCCATCCATACATACGGTGGCTTCTTTTCCCACATGGGTCTCTATATAAACCCCTGCACTTTCTTTTCTCTTCTTGTTTGTGTGATTTCCTCCATAAGCCACATCCCCTTCTAAAGCTCTACATTAGTCTGTTTGGCATCTACACCATTAGTACAGCACTAAGTTAGACAATAGGCTAAAAGAAACAAAACATGGCTCTAACTATAATGTGGACATAGAAAGCATTAAGCTTAATACATGTTTAAAACACAACAGGAAAAACCCCTTACAGTGAAGTACTGTCAGAGTAGAACTGTGCTCCAGATGGTTTTCAATGGTCACTTTCAGTTCACCAGAACGGCCGTTTCAAGGTGGATCTAAACCTCTACCCTCTTCCATAACAGTAAGTGCATTAACAGTCCATACCAATCAGCAACCCTCTGTACAGCTTAGTATAATAAAGAAACAGCAGATGCTGTTATTATTGCTGTCCACTCAGAATCAACTCACAGCTGATCCTCCAGTGGGCTTTGAGAGGCTATAAACCACACAAAAAATTACTCATCCTCCTCTCTCAGAGCAGCTGGCCATTTCAAACCAAGTGTCTCTGGGTTGGCAGCCCAGCTATTTAATATTAGGCCACCAGAGCTTCCTTAAATGTAAGGAGAAGCTAGTTTATATTGGAACAATACAAATAAAAAGGACAATTAACTCAGAGTTGATATCCTTCCTCCTTCAGTTTTCCCCATTTCATTTCAATCAGAAACTTTCCTCAATGCTGTCCTAAATCACCAGATCTTTATGTAGGTTATTATACATAAATGTAATACATTTTATTATCTCCCATTGTGTCAATCATCTTTTAATCTCCTAAATCATAAAAACTTGAGACATCCTATTAGTCCCTTCTCATAGCTATTAAATTTTCCTAAAACAATAAACACTACTGAAATAATGATTTAAAAACTGCCTTCCAAATATACAGATCTGCCATATTTTCTCTAGTGATGGTCAGAGTGATTACATAATGAGCTCTAAACTCTTTCAAGACACAGTGAAAGTATCAACGTTGCTTTTTAGCACTCTAGAGAGGTCCCTGACAAGAGTTTTCCCCAAAGCAATTCAACTTTGGATTTCCTCACTGCTGGTGCCAAGAGTGCTGACTGTAGACCTATCATGATGCTGCCAATTGCCCTGTGGTGAGAATCTTTCTTTTCTTGATGTGGAGTTTCAATCTATATTGAAGACTGCAGTCCTTGACCTTCTGCAGCAAGTGCTTCAAGTCTCAGTTTCAGCAAGCAAGGTTGTAACATTGCATAACGCAGATTGTTGATGAGTCTTCCTCTAATCCTGATGTCATATTCCTCTTCATATAGTCCAGCCTCATGAATGATCTGTTCCACATATAGATTAAAAATGTATGGAGGAAAAAAAAAAGAAAAACATACCCATGACATATTCCTTTCTTGATTTTGAATCATGCAGTATTTCCTTGTTCTGCTTGTATGGTCTAAGTATAGGTTTCACATGAGCATAGTTAAGTGTTCTGGGATACCCATTCTTTTCAGTGTTAGCCAAAAGCTGTTGTGATCCACAGTCAAGTGCCTTTGCATAGTCAATAAAAACAAACAGATATTCTTCTGATACTCTCTTCTTTCAGCCAAGATCCATCTGACTTGGCAGTGATAGCCCTAGTGCCACAGCCTTTCCTAAACCAAGTTTATCTTTCTGGCAGCTCTCTGTTGATGTACTGTTCCAGCGGCTTTTGGATCATTTTCAGGAGGATTTTGCTTGTGTGTGATATCAGTGATACTGTTCGATAATTTTCACACTCTGTTGGATCACCTTTTTTTACGAATGGGAATAAATATAGATCTCTTAACCTATTAACAACTATTCACATTTTGTTATATAATCATTTTCCAAGGAAGATATGACTATTAAACAGGATGAACAAATACATATAAGCACCACAATCTAGTATAAATTAGCTTGTTAACTAAACAGTTTTACTACCTTTAAAAGATATCAAGCTGTAAATTTATCAAGCAAGCTAAATTCATTAATTTAAAATATTTTGTAATTTGAAAAAATCTGAGTTGTTTTTCAAAAGAAAATTAAAAATGTAACTTATCTACTTCAGTTTGAATAAAGCCTTACTGTACCTGGTTATTACCATGGCCAAATGGAGTACTAGAGAAATTAGTGGTTACGCTGTGCAAAATAATTTCACCACTCAGAGATCCAGAAGCAACATAGCAATCATTCCAATTATATGTTACACATGTAACTTCATCTTTATGATCCTGAAAAAGAGAAAAGAAAGTATACAGCCATGTAAGCTTCACGTGAACAGCTCATTATGCTTGTGTTAATATCAAACATATTTGCCAACTAATTAAAGAGTTCCTTTGAATAACCTAAAAAAGTTACTCAAATGAAGAGAAGACTATCTGATAACATCAAGTCTCTGCCGGGAGCTGAGATTTATTTTTGGTAACTGTAATAATGGTCAGGCACTCTAAAAGTTTTCCAAGAGACTTTGGAAAGGTAATTTTCTAAATGGCATTATGTCTACTTAAAAGAATTCACTTCAGCTGACAAGTAACATTTACGGAACACTGACTATTATGAGAGGCCCTGCCCTTGAGAGTATTACAGTTCAATTGAGAAGACAAGGTGTTTAAGTTAACAAGAAAATGGCAGAGCGAATGCTAAATGAGTGGTAGAGGCGAAGTGTCAGGAGAAAGAGAAAGACGTTAACGTGAACTGAGTTGACAGAGGAAGCTTTAGAAAAACCATAAAGCTAGAGTTCAGCCTTAAAGAGAGGTTAAGAAATAAGATTCAAGTAAGTAAGATGAAATCATAGATATTCCAAAATGAAAGAAAGCAATAAACAAAAGTCCAAAAGCCCAAGCGAGGAAGGAAATTTTGACAGATTAAAGCAACCACTTCCAATTCCTGCGTTCTTCCTAGTTCTGAGTGTTTTACATATGATTTAATCCTGAAAACAACTCTGAGAGATGAGGTCATTGTTCGCACTTTGAAGATGAAGTAAACGAGGTAGACGAAGATTAAAGAAGCTTTCTATTTTATACATTATTCTCATTTGAGAAATTAAGAATGTGGGACTCAATATAACTTCTCTAACTTTGTAAAGATATTATTTCAACTAGGAGAAATCACTCATTCTGTAAACATTTACTAAGCCCCTACTAGTGCCAGAAACTGTGCACAGTCAACAGGGAGAGGACCACAGTGGAGGAATTTAAACGTGAAAGAGAAGATTCCCCATGTGGCAGTTTATTAATCAGATACTTTTTAGCTAATGCAAGGAAGCCTAAAGCACTCTAAGCATTCAAACACTAGGAAGAGAAAATACTATCGCAAGACATTGCGAAAGCTGAGGCTGAGAAGAAGAATTTTGCCATGCAGTAAAGAAATGGAAGAAATTGTGGCAAATCTAATCTCCGACTTCCAATCTCTTCTCAACTCTGTCAGATACTCTTTGTCCCTGACTTCCTGCCATCAAGTCTCTTCCAACTCATAGCAACGTTACAGGACAGAGTAAGACTACGCCATAAGGTTTCCAAAGCTGTCATTTTTAAAGAAGCACACTGCCACATCTTCCTCCGCTGGTGGCTTAAACCGCCAACTTTCCAGTTAGCAGCCAAGTACTCAACCTTCAGAAGCCCTGCTGGCACAGTGGTTAAGCACTCAGCTGCCAACCAAAAGAGTGAAGTTCGAACCCACTAACAGCTCTGCAAGAGAATGAATGGTGGGACAGTCAATTTCTATTAAGATTTACTGCCTTGGAAACCCTAGGATACAGTTGTAATCTGTGTTATTACTAGATACTGGGTTACTATGAATCAGAACTGACTCGATGGCAAGGGGCTTAGTGTTTATGTTAACACTCCCAGCAGCCCTAAGATATTTTATAATTTAAAAGACTGAACAATGAATGGCACCTGTGTTTGCACCCCATCTTTGTTACTTATTAACTGTCTGGCACTAAGTTCTTTAACAGCTGTAAGCCTTAGTTTCCCATCTATAGATGGAAATAATGCTATCTGCTCTGCAAAGTGTGTGATAAGCTGTTGCTGTTCTTAGGTATAGTCCAGTTGAGTGTGACTCATAGCACTCTATGAACCACAGAGCTGAACCCTGTCCTATCCTGTGCCACCCTCACAATCTCTGACACGTTCACGCCCACTGCTGCAGTTATCCTGTCAATCAGCATTGCTGGGGTTCTCTATGTCTCTTCTCTGTCGCCAACCCTCTACTGTCCAACTTTGACATGCATAAGATGCAACTGAAAAGAACCCATGGCCTGGGTGAGGCACACATTAATGCTCAAAGTAACATCCTTGCTTTGAAGCACTTGCCAACAGATTTGTCAAATCCAATACACTGTCTGACTTGACTGCTGCTTTGATGGGCACTGGGAGGAAAAGCTAAGAGTATAGATAAGGCAGCATGTGCCATGAGTTGAAATCAGGTAGTAAGTATGTGAATGATGGGGTAATGATGTAGAGTGTGAGTGTGTGTTTAAAACTGTCCACATTAAAACTGTTTTTAAGAGACATTGGAGAAGTAAAGCTAACTTTAAAAAAGAACTTCTATATATTAAACAAGCTTAAGAATGAAAAACAGGGCTGAGTGCTCACATGGCAGAGCTCCCTGAATGATCAGAGATGTCAGAAGTAGAAGAGACCTTGAAGGGACTGCAGAGTCCAAGGGCATGCATGAAATCATGGTGGTGAACACAGGACGATGCCACCCTGACCACCATCCTAGTCTGAGGGTGAACGCTCCCAACTTTGAACTCCTGATAAGCCCGACTCAGCTGTTCACCATCTAACACCTCTGCCTTGACCAAATTCAGCCAGTGAAATCCAACCAGTCTGTCATAATGAAAGTGACTCTGAGTAGCTTTAACAGCCACAAAAGTCACCCCCAAACACTTTCATGTAAGCAACAATTTCACTTATTAAAACTGCAGAGCTAAATATTTTAAAAAAGAATTTTAACTGTACATAGATAATCATTTTAGAAATGTTTCATAACACGTTGGAAATACAAACACAAATAACACAAAAACTAGCTGCCCAAGGAAAGTTTAACTTCTTTAAACCCATCTAAGAATTACAACACAACACAAACAAGAAAACAATCCCCAGCAAAGTGCTTACCTTAAGAGATCGATGAAGTCTTTTTGATTTTAAATCCCAAATATTAACAGTTTTATTTAGGCCTCCGCTTACCACATGCATAGATGTAGAATTTAGACTGACACATGTTTGCTTTTGCTATTGAGAAGAAACAAAACAAAAATTTACCTTGACAGCATCAAGAATTTATTCTCAAGTCTCATCACATTCCATAACTATAATAAATACTTGAATTAAATGCTGCAAAATACTAATAAAGTTCTGCCTCCCATCATCTTTCACATGGATCCAACTGACTAGTAGAGCTTGTTGTTGTTGTGGTTGCGTGCTGTTGAATTGGAACTAACTCATAGCTGACCCTCCAGAGTTTTCAAAGGCAGTAAATTGCACTGGAGGAGATTGCTCATCTTTCTCCCCAGAGCAGCTGGTGTATTTGAACTATCTTCAGGATTGCAGCGCAGTTTCTCACCACTAGGCCACCAGAGCTCCCTAGCAGAGCTTATAGGGGTTCAAAGAAGTTTCACAGAAATATTTGTGTTTCTTCCCAGAAAATGTCTAGAAGGTGGAGCAAACAGCAAGGTTGGTCCAATCAGGATCTACTTGCTCTTAAGAGACTTTTTACTAAAACCTGTTCCAGTGTTCTAAAGCAAAATCCCTTCTCAGCTCAGAATATGCTACAGTAGAAAGGAGTGTTCGTGTATTTCACTGAGCTAGAGCTCTTATTTTACAGATAAGGAAACTTTTATCAAGAGGTAAGCAACTTGTAAATCTCCAAGAAGCCCAAGTTTCAAACATTATGCAATCAAAGCCTGATCTCACAATCTTTTCCATCTCTTTAAACTTCTCATACTTCCTGAGTGACCTTTAAAAATGTAAATCAAGTCATGTTTCTCCCTATTAACAATTTTTAATGGATTTCAATCATGCCCATGAAAAACTCCAAACTCATTAACCTGGCTTTCAAAACCCAATGTATCATTCTCCTGTCTAACACATCTCCAACAATTTTTCTTCTTACCACTAATTCTCTAGCCACAGACTTTCCATTTTGTATACCTGGCTATTCTGTATTTGCCTGAGCGCTTCTATGCAACTATTCTTGCCTGGAAAGCTAAGATTTCTCAAACCTGGCAAGATGGCTTCTTCCAAGCAATGCTGTTGTTATGCGCTGGCCTGTCAGATCCAAGTCAGAGGTGACTCTGCAGGGGGTCTTCAGAGGCTACTGTAAATAGCAGAGAGGAGACTGCCCACTTTCTCCTGCACAACTCCTTATCCACTAGGCTTCTGGAGCTCCACCGGCCACCTACCAATACCTCCTACTGACAACTTGGTACTAGTTGGGCATTTCTGGTTACTAGTGTTTACTCTGTTTCTAGTGCAGTTGTCAGCTTCACTAGAACAAAAACCATACTCATGCTCTATAAATTCTAGAGTAAGTGATCAAAAATACGAATTACCATGAAACACAATGTGTACAGATTTGCATGCAAATCAACAAAAAAAGAATTTTTTAAAAATCCAGGTTATTGTTGCATTTTTCTCCCTGCAACAATAAATGACTGGAAACCCTAAGTTTCTGTAAACTTTCATTAAAATTAATTTTTTTAAAAGTCACTATTTTGACCATCACTTAGAGGCTTTCTAGCTCCTACCTTATTAATTTGTATCATTACCTGATAATTTCAAAATTTACAAACCTTTACATGTATTAGACTAATAAACTAAAATCAAATTAAAAAAATACAGGTTATTAATTTTTTCACACAAAAATACTTATTAGTGCCATCTACCTGATTGGTAGCTATGCTATATAATAGATCACAGTGTGTCATCTTGTTCCCTAATCAACCCACAGACATACTAATCATTTCAATGAACTGTTCTTGCTTTCAGTTAAATACTGTAAGAAGAATGTTACTGCATGTGCCACTGAGTCAGAGCTGACTCACAGCAGTTTTAACTGACCTCTCTAACAGACTGTCAAAGTAAATGCTGAAATCTGGTCATGGAAAGAGACTATTCATTTTTCTTCCTCAGAGCAGCTACTGGATTCGAACTCCATGCTTTTGGGTTGACATCACAGCTACTAACCATTACTCACCAGAACTCATGAGAAAAAGAAGGCCATCATATGTCTTATTTAAAAGTTAAAAGGCATGCTTCACAGTTTCGGACAAATCATCTATTGTCCTCAGTCTCTGTTGTTTAGCTGGGAAGAGGGTAAGATCTACCTCGAGGGTGACGAATGCACAGCAGGGAAATCAGAGAGTCCCACACACAATGTGATGGGTGGAAGGAGGGGGTGGATAAAGGAAATGGGAAAGATCTGGGAAAACAGGGCAACGGTGAGCACAGTTCAATACTGATTACTTTTATAAAATATAATGAATGGGAATGACTGTGAAACACAATGTGAATGAAGCATAATGTGTTTGTAAGCAAACCAACAGAAAATAAAAATCGTTTTGTTTTTTTTTTAAAAAAAAACAAGATCCACCTCGAGTCCCACATCTCAAAAACATTCTCTGTTCAGGATTCTTAAAGGACATGTGGATGGGCCCCTTTCCCTTTCCCACTGGACTAGTCAGTATTGCTTGCAGGTACAAAATGTTAGTCCTGAGTATCATGTAACACATATAAAGTCACAGGATGCATTTCACCTCAATGTTTTATTTGCTTCAGGATGCATTTCACCTCAATGTGTTATTTGCTTTCATTTTCTTGGGTAGTATTCCAGGAAAAGATTTTGTTCTAAAGAAACTAATAAGATTTTTAATCTGACCAGGACTGCAAATTGTGACAGTTTATAAACTGTCACAATAACCTTTAAAGCAAAGTGACAAGGATGGCTTCCATCAAAGATCAACATATCGGTATTCTAACAGTCAAGGACAGCTCAAATTATTACTAACGATTCAACACCAGACTTGTATTTACAGCCGGCTTAGAATTTTTTAAGCTAATTTATTATTAATATAACTAATGAATATAAATAATTAATGGAAATTGTGTGGTTATTATATGAATGCTGTGCCTCAAGGCACAAGCCAATTGGAGTAATTTTTAAAAAATGAAAAATAAGAACTAGTCAAATTTCCAAGATATTTAGTTTAGGATATCCATTATAGTACTTTAATAGTAACTGTTCCACTTTTAAATCAAAGAAAATAAAATTTTTCCTCTAAAGATAACTTTAAAATATATGAGATCAAATCTTATTGTCCAAGCAAGAAATATCTTAAATCTCAAATGGCCCATGAATAAAAGGGCTTGTATCTCATTGTTGTTGTTATGTCTTCAAGTCACTTGTGACTCACAGAAGAGACTCATAGCGACCCTATGCACAACAGCTCTGAACTCTGCTATATCCTAAACCGATCTCACTAACTCTGACACATCCACCCTCTACCCTCATTGCCCTAGGTATTGTGTTAAACCATCTTATCTGGGGTCTTACTCTCCTTTACTATACCTCAACCCAAGCAAGCATATCCTTCTCCAAGGAGTGGCCTCTCCTCGCTACATGTCCAAAGTATGTGAGATGGAGTCTCAAAATTCTTGCCTCCAAGGAGCAGTTTGGTTTCACCCTTTCCAGGAGAGACCTGTTAGTCCTGTTGGCAGTCTACGGTATGTTCAAAACTCTTCTCCAGAACCACAATTCAAAGGCATCAATTCTTCTGTCATCCTTGGTCACTGTCTAGTTCTCTGATGCGTAGCAAGTAACTGTGAAGACCAGGGCCTGGATCAGGCACACTTTAGACTGATATACTTGTTCTCCAGCCCCCTGGAGAGGTCAGATTTCTCCAATGCAATTAATTTGTCTTTTGATTTCGTGACTGTTGGTGTCAAGAGGGTTGATTTGTGGAACTGAGCAAGCTGAAATTGTTAACAATCTCAATCTCTTCTCCATCTATCATGCTGCTGCCAATTGGCTCTGTGGTGAAAATCTTTGATTTCTTGGTGTTGAGCTTCAATCGATTTTTCAAACTACAGTTCTTGACCCCTGCAGCAGATGCTTCAGGGCCTCCTCAGTTTCAACAAATAAGTTTGTGTCATCTGCCTAACTCAGGTTGTTGATGAGTGTTCTTCCAATCCTGATGCCACATTCTTTCTCATAAAGTCTAGCCTCTTGGATGGTCACTTCTGCATACATATTGAAAAGGTATGGAGGCGACACACATCCGTGACAAACTCCTTTTCTGATGTTTGAACCATACAGTGTTTCCTTATTCTGCTCTGACAACTGCCTCCTGATCCAAGTATATTGCTACATTTATATGTTACAATTATGACACAGTTTGTGCTACAAAACACTACTAATAAAGTTTAAAGAGTCAAAGTTTGCAAAATATTTACTTTTTATGAGTAAATTGTAGCCAATCAAAATGTTAACTATAATGACCTCTGCTTTGTCTCCCTCCATTCATAGGTCATGTACTGTGAAATTACAGCAAGGAACGTGAAAAATTCTCAAAAGACTTAAAAATTAGGTCATACTCATTAAGATTATTTTTTATATTTTTAAAGATTCTAAACCGATGCTAGCTCTTTGATTTATGCACACTAATCAGACTGTTATGATCCATAGGTTCTCAATGGTACATTTTTGGAAGATATGTATTACTTGCATTTCAAAGATTCACTTTATATCACCTCACTTTTATGAAAGAATTGTTACTGCCTGATTACTACTTGACTTTGCTAAATGGAAGAAATCTGAATAAGATTTTCACTTTGAAGAAACAAGGCAAAAAGCAAACGAGTGGCCAGTCAGTTTTGCAGCAGGTTATTAAAGGGGCAGATCCATGACTTGCTGAGCTGCATGAGAACCACACTCCAGTGAAGACTCCCAGCACTGAGTCCCACAGCTGTGATTATTACACTTAACACTAGTTTCAGATTTTCTATGTGATGGGGTAGGTTATTTTTGGGGTGTCGGGGTGGTGTCTGTGAATGCTCAAGATTTTTATTGCTTCTTTAGGGTTTCACAGACAAGCTCTCCATTCAGAAAGGGGAAATTTGTAAATAACCATACCTTCCTAGCCTGTCTTAGTCTCGAGACTCTGCTGAACTGCTCCTCGTCACAGGAGCTGACAAGCCTCCACTGACAGACAGGTAGTGGCTGTATGTGAGGTGCACTGGCCTGAAATCAAACCTGGGTCTCCCCCATGGAAGATGAGAATTCTACCACTGAGCCACTAATGTCTTATGGGGGGTGTGGGGGTGTGTGTGTGAAAGAGAAAAAGAGAGAGAGAATGAGAATGAGTGTGTGTGTGTGTGTGTAAATAAAAATTAAGTGTTGCTATTTATTTTAACAAAAGTGTGTTGACCATCTTTGGCAGGATTAAGCAGGCACTCCTCAAGAGTACAGTCTGCCTTCTATGGACCAGAAGTACTCTGTGCCTTAACTTAAGTCAGTTTAAACAGGCAGAGTGCCTCGATCCATTCCAACTCTCCAGTCATTTTCACAGTCTGAGTTCCAATGTGCATCTATTACTTTAAAGAGAGATGGACAGAAACATAAATCATCTTTAAAGCTTATAGTCCTATGTTCTTTCTCACTGGGCTACTTTACCTATTTCAGGGTGTAAAATTATTACAATTCATAATGATTTAGGATCTGTTATGAAATCTTTGAATCGAAGAAAAATCAAGATGTCTACTTCTTGTATCTTGCATACAGACTTCAGAGTATTTTAAAAGGGGTGGTGGGGCACATGAGTTTAGAAGTCTGTACCTTCTAGAATCTGAGAGATTATTTTATGAAACAGAAAGATAAAATAATGAGATCAATAAGGACTTCATTTAAATGCTGGAAGAACAAAGCTCATTTTGGCAAAGCCACTTGTATAAGAATTTGTTGGGAATACTCGGGTACAGTCCCCAGTACCAGGTGGGCAAAAACTAAGCGAGAGGGCTACCATCAGATATGGGTCAGATTAGCCCAGAGACCAAGGTCAATAGGGTAGCAGGGTCAATCAGGTTCCTAGGACACCTCCAACCTAGAGAAGAAAGAGTACCATGCCACCATGCAACTGAACAGAGTGAAACATGGGCCTAAAAAAATAAATTAATTAATTAAAAAAAAAATGCAGCAATACCAAGGACCTGCTTATTAAGGGTAAGTGGGGAGAGAACCTGGTTAGGGAAATCCAAGTTGAATGTCCTCTTTCCCACTCCAGAATCTGATACTATTTTATCTAAACTGCGCTGCAATCCCAAAGACACGCAGTTCAAATCCAGTAGTTGCTCCATGGGAGAGGGATGGGCAATCTCCTCTGGTGTGACTATCTACAGAGCTCTGAAAGCCCACTGGAGGGTCAGCTATGAGTCTGTTCCTACTCAAAGTTACATAACAACAAAGATACACATAACTAAGTGGCTCTAACTATTACTATATTATCTTGAACCTGAAATGCTGAAAAAAAATGATACTTTTAAAAACTTTAATTATAAGCAAAACACTATATAAGTGATTATCTCCTAAGCAAAACTGAGTTGTTCTTTTTTAAAGAAAAAAAAAATATTTAAAAGGAAAAAAAAAAATCAGCAACACTTACCCCTTCAGCAAGCTCTAATAGTGGAACAGATTTACACTTGACACTTGAAACAACAATTTTGTCACCACTGGAAGATGCCGACACTAGAAAGTTATCTACACAGAGAGTTATGGAGCAGCAAACAATTCATGAACATCTCTAGTGTCAGATCATCATGAGAATTGAGATGACAAAAACAAGGACACTATAAGATACAATGCATGCAGCTTGTACACTGGCTTTTGAAAATGGCTTTGGTTACTTATTGCTAAGATTAATTCTCTTTACTACCCCTGCAGGGAGGAACTAGCCTCTCTGGCTTTGCTATCATTTGAAAGCTATATAACCTATGTGAAATACTACTCCGTTCTCTAAGGATAAGCCAGAAGGTCTAATTTTAACCCTCAAGAATGAGAGGATGACAAAGGCTGCATCAGCACATATCAATTAGCCTTTTCATCTACAAAATCTGTCCAAGACATTTAAGTGCTTGGTATCAACTTAAGCTAGAATTAAAAAAAAAAACAAAACAAAACAAACAAAAAAAAAACACCAACCAAAACCAAAACCTCTCAGTATTTCACTAAAATAAATAAAGGCCGATATTTGCTCAGGGTCAGAAATCTGTGATAAAATGCTTTAACATTAAACACATGAACAGTTACAGTAAACATCACATAGAATTAGAAGTATGTTTAAAATGGAACAATGTATATGAATGAAACACAAAGGATTAGAGAAAATACAATGTACATGAATGAAATACTTTGTATGTGAACAACAGTAGGCAAACTAATAAAAAAAAAATGTTAAAAGAAAGGCAACAGTATAGGCCAGAAGACCAGAAGGCAAAGAATTAAAATAAGTAGCAACAACAATAAAAAAGCAACTGCTATGTTTTGAAGAGTTTCTGCATAATGTTAACATTAAAATTATTTTTACCTTACTTTATATAAGTTATTCATGGAACAATAAGTAAGCACAAAGAACTAAACTAAAATGGTTTCAGAAGTCATTACAAAGTAAGAAACCTATTTGGAGGTCAAAAAGCAAAGAAAACTAGCCTCCCTGGTATCTTATTAATACCCTGCTTAGAGTCTAAGTGACCAAAGCTGCTAAATCAAGGGGTTCTTTTTTCTTTAGTAACTAACCTCCATATAAGCAATTCTCCCACTGGGAGTAAAACTGTATGACAGTTTCCAGTGCCCATCTATACTTATACATGTGGACTAATAAAAAACTAAAACTCATTTCCACAGGTCATACAGTACTATTTCATCTTCATATCAGTTTTGCTAACAGACCATGAAATAGTCCATTAGTAAATGAAAACTCCCAAGAAAAATCTTCAGAACAAAAGTAAACCAAAAAATAGTAAATTCTGTTACGAAAATTTACATTTCTCCTCTTAATACTTAGCAGGAGAAATAAAACTTTAATGAAAATCTAAAAATAAAGAGAAAAGCAATCTACATTTTCATCACTTTCTTTAAAATATTTTCCTCTAGTACATATCTAAAGAGTCTTTCAAAAGTGTAGTCACTTTATCATGGGTTTAATTAACACAGAACCAAAGTAATTTAGTGTTCTACTTTAAAACAAAATTACTGAATGCTTACAAGATAAAGTCAGTGCAGTAAGGAAATTTGCCATTACTATGTATTTGCAAGAATATATTAAATTAGGCTTAAAAACTTCTAACAGTTTTGTTCATGAACTGGTCATATTTTAAAGCTTTGATATTTTTCTTTTTATCAGAAAGCAAGATATTAGTATGATGGTATTGATAAGATCAGATGTGTTAAAATTTAATCAATGAACAAAGTATATAGTTATTAATTACACAAAAGAATAACTTCTAGTATGGTAAGAACAAATAAATATGTCTCAGAGAAAGTGCAGCCAGAGTGCTCCTTGGTGGCAAAGATGATAAAGCTTCGCCTCATACTTCAAGCATGTCTCTAGGAAAGGCTATTCCCTGGAGAGGGGCATGATGCTTGGAAAGGCGGAGGGTTAGAGAAAAGAGGAAGATCTTCAACCAGATGGACTGACACAGTGACAGCTGCAATGGGCTCAAGTATGTAAGTGTTAGGATGGCACAGGGTATAGGAAGGGCTTCAGATCTGTCATTCGGGTCACATTCCACTTGTTGGCACCTAATAACAATGTATATAAAACCTTGACATACAAAAGGGGTAAGACTATTTTGTTTACAACAGTGGTTTTGTCTCCCAAACAAGTAACTTGTAAGTAACTGTAAAGACTAGAAATATTTTTTGTTGTTTCAATCGTAGACTGGGGGAGGGCAGGGAAGAATCACTGTATCTAAAGCGTCTAAATATCCTGCAGTGCATTGAACAGTCCCTCACCATAAAGATTATCTGACCCAAAAAGTCTGCAGTGTAAAGGCTGAAATTCTGGCTTACAGGCTTTATGCCTTTATTTATTTTATTCACAATTAAGAGATTACCTAACAAGGGAGTCACTAACAAGAAACTGACAAGATTAGGCAATTTCTGTTAAGAGAGGATGCTATTTTCATCACAGAAAGCTAAAGAAATGCAGTTTATCAAGAAGATGGAGCTGGTGGACTTCTCCCTGTCCACCAGTGCTTCTAATCACAGTTTCCAGACCAGACCCAAAAACACCCAAATGCAGATGTAAGAAGTCATTTCAAACCCTTCTGAATGAAAGAATTTCCTCTATTACCTTATCCCATGTGGTTCAATGAGAAAATGTTTATACTTGAAAATATAGCTAATCCCAGAGTCTAGATCCTTGCAACTAAGTTTTTTAAATAAAAATGTTTTTTAGGAGTTACACTTAATAGTTGCACTGACACTGGGATTTTTATTAAAAAAAAAAAAAAAGGATACTATTACTGCTCCAACAGATTGAGCTGACTCCATGTGGCGATGTGTGTGGGTTGAATTTATCCACCAAGGTTAAGGATGAAGCTTCCCATATTTTAATATCATCTCCTGACGAAGCAAATCTCAAGTTTTCCTGCATGACTGCACCTACAACGAACTGAAAATAAAAAATTAAAAAATCATAAAAGAATTGAGGACAAAGTAAAAATGAAGGCTCTAACATAAATCAAGAACACATCTGCCACCACTGGATGCACTCACTACAAAGCGGTTGAAATGACCTTTTTAAAAGATACGCCATATCATTCTCCTGATACAGTGACTACGATGAAACCTAATCTTGTGAGCATGCATCCCAAGCCCTGGCTGGTCGTGGCTTACTTACTGACTCTGTTCCAGTCTCTGAGACACCAGATATGCTGGCCTTCATTGTCTCAGCAACAGGCTGTCATTCTCACCTCCGCATTTTCTGCTCCCTCTGCTCTGTCCCCAGATTTTCCACAGCCATCCGTCTTCTTATAATTTAGCTATCAGTTCAAATGTCTCAGAAAGGCCTTCCTTCCACAGGCACCAAGGATGGTACAAGCAGCGCCACCTTTGTCTGATTATCCCATTTTCTTTTCTTCACAGCACTTAACGCAATCTGAAATTCCTACACGTTCTAATAAATATCTACCTCCCTATACTTTTTTGAAAATTTTCTTTCATACTGGTTTACTTACAAAGTTCGTAAACATTGTTTTTCACACTGGATTCTACCTCCCTACATTTGAAAGAGACAAAGATCCTTGAAGGTAAGCATTTGACTTGTTTTTAACCAGATTCTTTCTTTATTCAAATAAAATTTTTATTTTATACTGGTTTACTTACAAAGTTTATATACATTGGTTTCCCACAAGACCTTTCCCACTTCCTTTACCCCTCCCTTCTCAAATTGTGTGACCCTATGATTAACCGCCCCCCCCTGCTCCCCAATTCTCACTCCTCTGCTCCTACCCTCTGCCTATTAGATCCTCATATATGTTCTACAATAATGATGATCAGATTCTTGAAAAGTCCTCAAACATGCTAATTATTCAACAAATAACTTTTGGATAGATTACTTCCTTGGCTCTTAAAAAAAATATGATATAAAATTTCCAACACTCTCAAAATTTTCAATCCAGTCACACCAGTTTTTCAAAATAAGTCCACAATTAGCAAAAGGAGATATTAGTAAGTAGTTACAGAAATATTTCATCTACAATGTCAAGTATATGATTTACTTATGATACATAATCAATCATTCTGCCATGGAGACACAATCTAGCAGGTTTTCAGAGGCTGTAAATTGCATGGAAGATTGCCTATCTTTTCCCCAAGGAGTCAGTGGTAGATCTGAACCACCAGAGAGGTAGCACTTTTGGGTTGGCAGCACAACTCCTTACTGTATCACCTGAGTTCCATAAATAATAAAAATCACCCTGTTACAATATATGTTTGATATACAGTACAAATAGACAATCTAAAAAGGTGATTTCCCAAATCACAGGAGTCTAGAAGACAGAAAGCAGGGCGACTGGTCAGGGCAGAGACATTAAAAAGTAACAATATGGGTTACCAAAAGAGTACTCAGAACTACCATGGAAAAAAGCAGAGGGGATATAGCATAAAAATAAGGAGCCTTCCACATTTTCCCAGTGTAATCAATTTAAGACTAATGTCACATTCAGGTCTCCAAATTATCCACCAAACATTATTTGTAGTCATGCATTCCATAGGATCAAAACCAAGGCCAAGTTCACTGCCAATGAGTGACTGTAACTCACAGAGGCTCTAACAGAACAAAGGAGAGCTGCCCCACTGGGTTTCCAAGGCTGTAAACCTTTTTCTTTGTTCTGGTGGCCTAGTGGTAAGAAGCTGCCAACCAACAGGTAGGCTCTTCCAACCCACGGGAGCAAGATGGGCAATCTCCTCCTGCAAGATTTTACAGCCTCTGTAAACCTGTTAGAGGGTCAACCATGCGATGGTTCGGACTGTACACATAACAACAACAAATCTTTATAGGAGACTGCTAACACTTCTCAAAGCACCAATCTTTCAGGTAGCAGCACAGTTCTTTAACGACAGTGCCACCAGCTCTCATTTTCCAGAAGACAAGCATAATAAATGACAGAATGTTTTCACTCGCAAGAGATAAAACAGTAAAGTTAAACTTAAGGTGTTTATGAGAAGGCAAAAATGTCTCTTAACTAGAAAATGCTCTCTGTGGTTCTTTAGGCCTCATGCATCAGATAACCGTGATACACCCAACAGCGCAGTTAAGTCACCTGCTGAAACGCAGGCATACGATGTTTGCATTCGGTGTCTTAACACGTGCCCTCTTGGTTTCAAACTCCAGAATGTTAGACACAAATGTGCAATCTTGCCCCAGTCCTCTTCAGCGGGGTGGCACAGAGCAAGATCATCAACACCTTTTGGTTTGCAATCGGATGCTTAAACACTTGCGCCACCAAGGCTCCTTCACATCAAAACTCAGAAACCTTGTGCAAGGGTTCTACTTCAGAGTTTGAGGGATAATGGTGCCACTGACTGACCTTTTAAATGTCTGTTCCCTTCTCCAAAAGTGAATAGCGAAAGGAGACCATTTGTCTAATACCCTGTTGGGCACATTTAAGGAATAAGCATTCCATGGGGCCTCTCACGGGGTCCCACCCAAAGTGACCTTCTCCACCCTCACCCCAACCCAGGTCTAGGGACATGGGCTAAACCAAACACTTCCAAGGCGACATTAAACTTGAACAAATGAAAATGATCTAACTTTATTAGCCAAAGATACATTTTAATTGCAGAAGAAAGCGTTCAATTGGAGAGCCCTGTAAAACGCCTGTGCGTGCCGCCTACGGGTATGTGACTGGAGAGGTTTATAATAAGGCTAACAGACTTGGGAAGAGGCAAACTTTTTGAAGGCAGCACATGCCGCAGCGGAGCTACCACCCACCCTAACTGGCTCGGTAACCTCTCAAGCTGGGTCAGAGGCCCCAGATGTCAGAGTGCACGACCCCGGCCCGCGGATCCCGCACCCACTGCGCGCAATTTCCGCGCCAATTGCGCCGCCGCGCCCCTGCCCAGCAACGGCCTGGCGCTCCAAGACGACCCGAGCGCGCACCGGGCACGGGGGCCTCCGGCCTGCCCACTGAGGGGACCGGAGGACGGGCAGGGGTCAGACGGGATGCAAGGATGTGGCGGGGAAACACCTGCTGACCCGGCTAGCCGGGATCTCACCTCTCAGCTGCAGTACAACAGGGAAACCCTGCCCGGCCCGCTCTGGCCCTCGGCTTCCGGCTCCCGCCGGGATTGTCAAACTTCGGCGGCCGGAAGTCCCGCCTTTTCATACACCACGGGGCGGGGCACGGCTCCAAGCTCTGGTTTCTGTTGCCTCGGGTTTCTCGATATTGTTGGTGCTGGTATTGGTGCTGCTGCTGCCTCTGTTCCAGGCGCTTAATCCCAGGCCCAGAGCTGCAGGTTAGGGCCTGCATGGCTTCCTCCATGCTTCCTCTGCGCTCTAGCCCCAGCACTCCTAGCCATTGGGAGCTGCTTTTTTGTCTTTTGTCAGCTGAGTGCCTGCTGTCTGTCTGGCTCTATTCTGTTGTTGTTGCTGTTTTGTGCAGTCGAGTCATCTGCAACTCATAGCGACCCTGTGTACAGCAGCCCTAAACCCTGTTCTATCCTGTGCCAATCTCACAGTCTCTGACACACCTCCCTCGACTACCCTAGTCACTTAATCAATCCACCTTATAGAGAGGGTCTTCCTCTCCTGCGCTGTCCCTCCCAAGCATTACATCCTTCTCCAAGCATTGGTGCCTGCTTGCAACATGTCCAAAGTATGTCAGACGAAGCTTCAGAATCCTTGCCTCCAAGCAGCAGCCTGGTTTAACCCTCTTCTGGATGAACCTGTTCGTTTTCTTAGCAGTCCATGGTATATTCAATACTTTTATCCAACACCACTATCATCCCTAGTCATTGTCCAGCTCTCTGACGCATAGCAAGTGGTTAGAAAGACCATGGCCTGTGGCAGGTGCACCTTAGTCTCCAGAGTGACATCATTGCTCTTCAGTATTTTTGGAGACACTATTGTTGACCCTGAGTATGTAGTGAGAACATCTTGGGAATACAAATGTAGAGCATAGATGCAGAGGAGCCCCTGATCTTGTGAAATCATAATCTGATATATGAGATTGATGTTAATAAATAATTACATACATGACAAGTGAAGCTGTGACAGTGTCACAATGTGTATTATATACAACAGTGCTTAATATGAGAAGTTACCAGAATGTATATGTAGCAAAGTTTTCCCTGAAGAAGAAATCAGAAAGAGGAGATGATAATACTGTCTGCAGCACAGGAAAGAGGAAGCATTTCTCACTCAGACTGCGAAACCTTTGATAGCAGGCTGGAAGGTCAGGGATGTCAGACACCATCTGGTCGTAAATTCTTTGCAAAAGAGAAGGTTTCTCAGAGTAGAAAAAGAAGTAGCTGAACTGAGTTTTCAAATGTTCCTTCTATGAGGATTGTTTTTTGCTCAGTTGACAATCTTCTCTGAGAGGACGTCTAATAATTTCACTGAGAATGTTTCCTTTTCAACAGATAATATTATCCTTTCATCACCTTTATTGGGTGTGCTTCTAAACTAGATTTCCTGGTGCATCCATGCTGCAAATAATTGGAAAATTCTAGTAAGGAAAGTTTTTTCAGAACAGAAATCACAGCCAAACTCTGGAGGTTAATGGGGAGCAGCAAAGGGAAGAGCAGGATTCAAGTGAGTGTCATTCCTACTTAAAGTAGAGCATTTCTATGAAATCTTTCATAAGCAAAAATGACTTAAAAGGAAGGCGTACTTCACATATTTACAGGGGAAACTTTTGAGCATTTCCAGGACAAAACAACAACAACAACAACAAAAAACACCCAAAAAAACCCAACAACAAGAAAACTTACCAAATCTTACTAAATAACAGACAAGATGTGACATAATACTAGCATATGGTGTTCACAGACAACTCTCAAAGCTGTAGATGCTTGATGCTGAGACGCTGCATGCAGGTCTCAGGGGAACAGGCTGCCAACGCCACTCTCACTATCCAGGTGCTGCTGGGTTTGCTGCAAAACAAACACTGAATTAATGTCTCCTTTCTTTTCCCTTAAAATTCCTCTTTGAATTTCGCTCAATTAGTGGAAATAGTTAATAACTTGTTACTGTTGTTAGGTGTCATCAAGTCTAGTACAACTCCTAGTGACCCTATGAACAACCTTTCTGAACCTTGCTCTATCCTACACCAGCAACATGGTCTCTGTCCTGCTCAAGTTCATTGTGGTAGTCATAGCATAAATCTTGAAACTGACATCATTAATTTGGGGAGCTCTGTTGTAGACCGAGGGTCCCAAAGAATGAAATAATTTTATAATTATTAATAATGAGACAGACTACCAGGAATGATATAGAACAGAGAGTGTGAAAAACAGGGGGCCAACAGTTCCCATGACTGAAGGCCCCAAGCCATGCTTCTCTGAGTATTTATTCAGAATCATAAGGAAGGTAAGCAAAGTAAAATCACAAGGAAGTACAAAGCAAAAACAAAGGATAATGGTGAAGTCTTTTACAGATAAGGCCAAGTTCCTCTTTACGCTAATCTCAAGAGGGAGGGATTCATTTGACACAAACTAAGAACAATATTGACTCCTAGGGAACACCCCAGTGTCACAAGGTGACCTTTGGCTTGTATTAAGCTTCTCTCATTTCCCGATACAGCATTTGGTCTACTATTATTAAATTTGATATTCGGCTTCCCTCAGAGGTCCCTGGTGTCTCCTGATCTTCTGACTGCTGGTAGCAAAGGTGTTGATAGTGGATATAATCAAGATGACAATTTCAGTCTTTCTCCATCTATCATGATTCTATCTATTGACCCAGTGGTGAGAATCTTTGTTTTCTTGATGTTGAGATGCAATTAATATTGAAGATTGCAGTCCTTGACCTTCTGCAGCAAATGCTTCAAGTCCTCAGTTTTAGCAAGCTAGATTGTGTCATTTGCATAATGCAAGTTGTTGATGAATTTTCTTCCAATTCTTCTTCATATAGTCCAGTCTCCTGGACTATATAGATTGAAAAGGTATGGAGAAGAGGTACTTTAAAAACCCTAAAGGTATGGATAAGGGATACTAAAAAAAACCCCTAAAGGTATGGATAAGGGATACTAAAAAAACCCTAAAACCATTTGTACACATCCCCTCCCTAGGCTAAGTGTGGCTTAGCAAGACAGATAACTGATATTGTATTGATGGCACATTGCACATAAAGAACTCATTCTTTCTTAAAGAAAGGAAACTTTTACAGTATTGAGCATAGAGGAGGGGAAAGGAGGCAGGGCAATTACAGTGTAAACATCCTCTCTTTATTCAAGTTATCCTTGATTTCAAGCCATACAGTGTTCCCTTGCTCTGTTCTGACAACAGCTTCCTGGTCTAGGTATAGGTTTCACATAAGCACAATCAAATATTCTAGGATTTCAATTCTTCTCAATGTTAACCAGGAGTTATTGTAATCCACACAAATGGTTTTGTATAGTCAATAAAATACAACTAGACATCCTTCTGATATATATGTCCCTATTTAAAGTGTCAAAATTTCATTTCTCCTTGATCAGTGTCCTCACTTTAATTTCACACACCATTTCAGGATGGAAATTCAATTAGCTTTGTAATTGGCATTAAATTGAAGGAGAAAAAAATCAAAGCTGAAGGATTTTGTGGACAAAATAATGATGCAGGAAGCATCAAAAGACTATGGAAGGAACACACAGTCTCGTTGTTCAAAAAAGTATTGGTCAACATTGAACCATTTTAAGTATCATTTTAACAAGAACAGAAGAAGTTTTGGCAAAAAATATAGCTCAAAGAGTTGGTAGAATACCAATGTTTCCACATACATATGCAGATTTGCATGTGTTTACTAGTCTATGCCAAGAAATTCCTGGCCAACCAGCAAGAAAATATACAGATTTGTGTCCATTAAAAAAACATGATTCAGCAGAATATATGTTGTCGAACAGTATCATTAATATTACACTGTATTAATATATTGTTGAAGATTATTTAAAATCATATAGAGCAGTCCATTAGCAGGGAAATGGCAGAAATTATATCTGGATTCAGAATTGGCCAGAGAGTATAGGACATCATTGTAGACTTTAGATATATCTTAGCTGAAAGCAGAAAACACCAAACAGATGCTTACTTGTGTTTTACTGACTATGCAGAGGCATTCAGCTGTGCAGATCATAATAAATTATAATGTTGTTAAGAACGGGAATGCTAGAACACTTACTTGTATTCATATAAAACTGGCATATGGACCAATAACAGTAATTTGAACAGAATTAGGAAATAAAAGACTTGTGTTAGGACTGTATTCTTTCCCCATAACTATGCAATCTGTATGCTGAGCAAATAATCAGAGAAGCTGGACTGTATAAAGACAAATGTGACATCACAATAGGAGGCAGGCAAAATGCAAATGACGCAGCTTGTGTGCTTAAAGTGAAGAGGATTGAAGCAAAGACTGCAGCCTTCAGTATGGATAACATCTCAACATCAAAAAACCAGAAATATTCACAACCGGGACAGTGAGCAACATCACGACAAACGTTTGAAAGATTGAAATTATCAAAGTTTTCATTTTACTTGGATCCGAAATCAACAGCCATAATAGCAACAGTCAAATCAAAAGATGTGTTGATCTGGAAAAATTTGCTGTCAAGGACTTCTTTAAAGTGTTAAAGAAGAATGTCAGTGTAAAGACTAAGATGCACCTGGTCCAAACAATGGAATTTTTCATTTGCTTCATTTGCATGTCAAAGTTGGACAAGAAATAAAACAGAAGAAGAGTTGATGTATTTAGATTGTAGTATTGAAGAAGAGTATTGAATATATGATAGAGTGACAAAAAAAAAATAAGGAATGCCCTCAATGAGATAGGTTGATATAGACTACAACAATGTGAAGATGGTTCAGGGTGAGATCATGTTCAGTTGTACATACGATCACCATGGATAGGAGCAGACTCACCAGCATCTGTAACCTAACAGTAACAACAGTGATAAGACAGTGGGTATTTGACTTTTGGCAAATCAGCTCTATGACAACATGAAATAAGGCTTTCTTTCAAGGGCCTAAGTTGTAACTTTAATGTCTTATCTGAAGCTTTTGTATTATGGCTCTGAAGTTTGAATGTGTCCTATTTCTTCATTCACCACTTTTTCAGTTAAAGTAAAACCATGCCAACAGTGCCTTTGTGCTATTTA